ACAAATGAGGGGAGAAACAAGACGGAAAAAAAAAAAAAGGTAAATGAATTTTGGACGAAAACAAGACCAAATACAGGAAGGTGACTGAAGGGAAGTGACGAAGGCAGGGGAAAATGGATATGGCGAAGGGGGAAAGCTACGATTTTCTTGATACCTAACGGAATCAAGCAGGAGAAGAAGCTATACGGAGGTTTTTGGGTCGTGAGAGTTAGATGGAGACGCTAGTTTTAATGTTAGATGACTAAAATGAGAGATAGATGAAAGACAGGATACGCGGAGAAGTCAAAAAGGGAGGGAGAAAGAGGGCGAAAAACGCACATCTCGGTCATTTATTGACTGTTTTTAGCAAACTTGGATGCTAATTAGGGGTTTTGACACGTCATGAATCAAATGGTCTCTTTTCAGCCTGTATGAACGGTAGGGGCTGCGGGAGCACTACCGACAGTTTTCGAATATGAGGATGTATCTTCCTTTGTCTTAGCGGACGATGTATGAGTAACAGTTTGGCTGATTTCACTACAACAGTCTTCGCCCTCGTGGTGACTATTTTCATTCCATTGGTTGATTGGCATTCCAATGACCTTCGGTCACGATCGTGGGGGAGTTCAGAGCGAGGGTGGCATGAACGTGGTTGAGGTTTTCAGCCAGGTGCATTGAAGGTGGACCCGAGAAGAGAGAGAGAGATCTGGTTGCAGGCGAGTAGAGTATAAGGGATTGGAGGAAAGCCGTGCACGAAGGAGAAGTGAATGAAAAGTGTGATTTGTACTTACCTGCAAAGCCGTGCAGAGTCTGCAGACTATTCGTGATAAGGGATTCAGAACTGCGTGCGGGGAATAATGGAGAAAACTAAGTTGAGCATGTATGTCTCGGATTTTTAATGAAAGATCCATTCTCATTCTATACAGGAGGTTGCCGCGCTTCTAGAGGTCATCATTTTGATGTTCTTCCTTGCAGTGTTGTCATCATGATGCACATCTTGGTGATGTTCGCTTGTCCGCTGCTGTCGTGATCACTCGTGTTGGTGATCTTCATTACGATTTGGATGAACTTGGCCGTTTTGACGGCGAGGTGCGTTCATACGCTGAGGATAGCAGGCGCATGCACGCATGTACAAGAGGAGTTGAGGTACGAGGAAGGAGTTGGAAGGAGGGGCTAGAGGATTGTCTCAGGTGAAAGAGTGAAGAAACGTGCAGATGAATCAGGACAGAGGATTGTGCTAGGTGTGTCGGCTGGAAAGCAGTGTATATATTTGCGTTCTAACATAAGGTTAATTCTCATTGTGCATGTTTAGTGAGTGACGGGAACAAGTCACTGGCTGCACACTTCCGCACGTGTCACGAATGCCGTTTCGATTTTGATAATGTCCGTCCTCGTTATCTTTGGCAAGGTGGTACTTTGTCTTTGTAGATTCGTTATCTTCATCCTGCCCATCACTGCATCGTTCTTTCGTCCCCCTCGTTCCATCGCTACGTTCACGGTGATGTTCATGGCCCCCTCCCTTCCAAGAGTCGTTGTGCTCCTTGCCTCAATGAGATAGTTTTCACCCCTGATGGACGTTGTTGCCAATGACCAGGTACGGACTAGTGAATGACCAGAAAGATAGCTTGTATACGTCCTCCATTGGTTTAGTTACTGTGAGTGCTCATTACTTTCCTCTTATATTAGCTTAAATTAGTTGTTTTGATTGCCTTTTTGCGGTGCACCTAGGCCAAGCGGCTGGCTAGGTACACTGGATTGTTATGTGCTTACTTGACCATTGTCACTACTTCCATCGAATATTGTTGTGTTGACTGGATGTGACGGTGTGCCGGGCAGTTTGATTCAAGCCCAGTCAACTGAGAATAATAGAAAGGGAGAAGAAGGGTTCACCTTGATGCGGGGAATGACGAGCTGGAGAAGCGGGAGGGCCAAGAGTGGAACTGCAGTAACATTGAAGGATTGGCGATATAGTCAGGGACAGTCAGGTTCGCTAAACCGGGTGTGGCGAACATAACAGTTCATGCGTGCGCTGTGTGAGAGGAGCATCAGACAAGCAAGGGGATTAGAAACTTACCTTGGGGCAGGAGTTCTGAGTACATGGGCCCAGACAATGCAGAGAGTAACGGGTTGAAAAATCCTTCTTGACTCTATGAGTGGCGCCGCAGGGTCGCTACCAGCTGTTGGGCATTCTATCTGCATAGTCCCAATAGAAGACTAAAGCTAGTGTGAAAATTAGGTTGTGGTCAACACTATCACTACAGCCTCGTCGAGCAGAAGCTACTGTTGTATTTCGACTGCAACTGTAGTTTATTACGACAGTGGGAAGCCATACCCCGCTTGTACATTCGGACTACGGTCGGTGCCATCGGAATGGAGTGGCCTGCATTCTTGACTGTCGGTGCTACTCTGTACTTGAGTACTCTCACTGTGTTGTTCAGACTTGCTGCGGAGCATTCGGAGTGGCCTGCATTCCTTGACTGTCGGTGCTACTGTGTACTTGAGTACTCTCACTGTGTTGTTCAGTTGCTGCGGAGCATTCGAA